ACTTTTATTCAATATGTATAATTAGTTTTAGTTAACTTTATTAATGAAATGTTGCAAATCAATTAGGTTAGCAATAATCAGACGCTGAGGACCCAAGAGGGACCATTTCTCTCACAAGAGGGGAGGGCGATATACAATTTAGTTGGGAAGCAAATGTAATTTGATTTGATCCGTTGAATATTCCTGTCCCGATATGGAGTCAGGCACATATCCAAGCCTGAGTTCACGGTTAAAAAAGAAAAAGATAGAAAACCCATTGTAACTTAGAAAATGTCTTCTTGACTCCATTGGCCACAGCTGGCAGCCAAAGAGGATTTTTGAAGATAGAAGTGAGTGGTTTTCCTCATACTGGGCTGTGTTTAAAATTTCGGTGTCACATCCAAAGCGCAGGCACTCTGTAAACTCCTCCTTGTCCCAGCCCCCGCCACTGCTGGGGCATCGCTTCTACCTTCACACATTTCTTTAACTGTCGAAGCCCAGGGACATTTCAGCTTGCAGCTTTTGTGAACCGTGACAACAGGTAACACCAAAGTTTCTTTCCTCTGGCTCTGAAATGGAATATCCAAAAAGCCAGGACGCTAAGAATGTTTCTAACTTAAGGTGATTGCTGAACACAAGGTGTTCCTCTTTGGAACTTTACTTTGCCACAGACTCTGCTGCCGTTCATTGCGTAAGTGCTTTTGGACCCTTGCGTGGAAAACACAGTTCTCAGCATTAGGCAGAAAGTTGTGAGCAAAATGGACAAAAAAAAACCCAAAATCCCGTGTTTATAGAAAACAGTGCAGTACTGTGCAGATGTAGAGGCAGGGCACTACAGCTTTAAAAGAGTGGTGGTTAGGGAAAACTTGCTTAATAAGAAAAGAACAGGGCGGTTCTGCCGCCTGCCTTGCAAGCACAATTACAAGTTTGATCCCCAGTACCAAAAAAAGAAAAGAAGAAAAGAAAAGAAAAGAACAACTGGGAGATGACTAAGCAAAGGGTACAGGCCTTGAGGAAGTACTGTTGCCACAGCGAGTGAGACAGCATCCTTGGGAACAGCAGAGGAAGAGTATATAACAAAAGTGACATAAAGTATGGGTGGGTGGGACCTGACAGAGACTAAAGGCATATTTAGAAAGGAAACTGTTGGAATTTAAACTCTAAATTGTTTTAAAACCTAGAATGCTTTTAAATAAAGTTGTAGATTTTAAAAGAACATCAGGTCCACTGCTCAGTCCTCACTGGTTGGTTCTATGGTACCACCTCTAAATGCAATCATTAGAAACCTGCAATTTTTATCAATGCCTTCCAGACATCTAACAATCTTGCTTGTTGCTTCTGGTATACTATTTTTTCTTCTTCTTTTTTGGTACCAGGGATGGAACTCAGGTCCTTGTGCTTGCGAGGCAGGTGGCAGAACCACTGAGCAAAATCCCCAGCCACCTCTGGTGTACTTTAAATGCACTTTGCCTACAGTACTGATCTGTCATCTTGTGTTTTGGGGCCAACAAATGCAACTCTTCAAGCAGTAGTGAGTTGGAGCTGTACAGAGTTGCCATTAGGCTCTTTCTTCTGAGATACATACAGAAATATATTTCAGTTGTAGAGATACCACTGAATGAAAAATAATTTCATATGCTGTCATTCCCTTTAAATTATTTTATCTTCAAGTCCAACAAAGCAGATTGTATATAAAGAGATATATTTGGGGCTGTGTGTGTACCATTCATTCACATTTAAGTAGCAGTAAAATTGTTTAGTGGAAAATTTCAAACGAACCAACTCTAAAAATGTACAGATAGTCTGAATGAGAAGAAACAATTCTGATTTTTATTCTTGATGTTTTAAAAATAATTCCCATGCTTTTTTCCTGTCCTGCCATTCTTTGAGATTTTCTAAAGAGGATTAAAGAAGCATATTTAACAAACTGTTTGCATGTTGAAAACAAGAAAATAAAGACTAATGGCTTCTCTCCCGCTAATTTGATTTTCTACAGTTCCTCTCCTACCTGCTTAAGCAAGAGTTAGTTACTATAGAGATGGGCCAAGGAAAAGACAAGCAAGCATCTGTGATGTCACGCATTCCCCCATGCCCCACAATCTCACCTAGAGGTGTCCCCAAGAGTAAAACATGGGAAGTGATCAGGAGCAGGATGAGAAAAATGCAAATCCATCAAGGAGAAAAACCACAGTGAGGAAGTTCCGTAACTAAAGAGGTCTTGAAAATAATATGATTTCTGATGAAAAAAAAATGCCATTACTCTTCCTTATGTAATAAAGTATTGTTTTGTCGAATAAGTATCTCTAAGAGATCTCTAAGCCATAGAAAGTTTGTGACTTGAATAACTGTCAAACCAGTAATATCCTGATTTGTATCCAGAACATTTTTTAATGTAGATCACAGCTGTATACTTGATCACTCCACAACAATGGTTTTAAACCCCACGCGCTATTTTATCAAAATATTTTTTCAGCAAATTGAGCTAAATTGTATTCAGAGAACTCGTCAGGAGAGCCAAAGATAGAAAAGCAATAAAATGGCCTTTAGCAGAATCTGTGTCCCTTTACAGAGCTTTCTGCCTGTGACCTCTTGTCATCTTCTCTAGAACTGTTCGGAGCATCCCTTTCTCCTTCCTGGGTCTCACAGATGACTCCTGCCTGCATAGTCTACAGAACTAAAAAGAGGCTCTGAAAGCGTTAAGTTGACAGAAAGATCGGGGGTTTGATTCCAAGTGGTTGGCAGGCTCGCTAAAATACATTATAGGCCAAGAAGTACTTTTCTGGTAGAATTCCAGGTCTTAGGGCTAGTTAATAGTACAACTGTGGCTATTTATTTATAACTATTCAGGAATGTCTTTCCCAGTACTGCTTAGATTATTGAAAGTATATAAAAGCAGTTGTGTAAGGAATTAAAACATTTTGAGAAAACACAATACATAACCTTAAATAAGAAGTTTTCTCTTTCTCACATCATGAGAACTGGTTCAAACTGACCTGAACTTCTATATGTGTGAGTGAGTGCCTCTGGTTTCAGGAGACGTGTACTGCTTTTGTGAGGCCAGTGTTCTTCGAAATTGCTGCACAGAGGCCAAACTGTAGAGTCTAGTCCCTCTCCTCAGAAAAAAACCTTTCCAGTGTCAGTGTCTGGTCACTGTTCTCTTCAGTGTTCACTGCAAAATATGGCAATTCTAATTTTAAATCCCAATAGTACTGGAAGATGGGATGAGTGAAAGAATGCCTGTAGTTTAATCAGTGTTCCATCCTTAATAAACAGCTAGTCAGTCACAACTTCCTTCAAATTCCTCTCCCACAAGTTTCCCTCCTGAAGAAAATGCTACGCTATTTTAGCGAAAATAAACTTCTCTAAATCAGAAGTTTAGAATAATGAAAGGGTTGAAGATAGCATTTTAAGCAAGATCGTGTTTTTCTTTACAGTCCCTGAATTTGAACAGATTCTTTACTTCAATTGTTTTAACTACTATGAAAATGATTTCTGTCTCAGTTCATTCCTTTTCAGAATGCAATATCTGTCTGCAGAGAGTCACAAATGTGATTCATCATTCAGGCCAGAAAAAAGTGAGACATAAAGTAGTCTAAATGGCATTGTCTTTTAAAAACCAAAAAAAAAGGATAAAAATCTCCAATCCTTTGAAACTCCCCTACCCCAACTTGTAATCTAGTGTTTAGGGTAAAAACTTTGGAAGAACAGTCCATGAGCACCGCATCACACACATCCAGCTGTCTGTGTCTCACAATACTTGGACATATAAGCAAGATTATGTCATCGTATTATATGACACCCTATAAATGAAGACAGGAGAGATCACGAAAATAGTATTAATTGGACACTTACTGCTGTCAGGCACTATTTAATCAGTCCATCTTCATTTTTTTCTTAATCAAACAAAAACAGAAAACAAACACATACACTAAGTTCTCTGATTGCCTTTACTATGTTCCCAGAAACTGAGTCTAAATTGCGCACATTACTAACTGGGGCCAGGGTCAAGACCAGAATTTGGGACTCACTCCAATTCCTTGCTTCTAACCATTTCTGTCCCTGTGGTAACCCACCAAGTTTCTCGGTGTTTATAATCTTGCTGCTACTGTTTAACTGCTATAACGGCAGCATTTTTTTTTCATATAAGTGAACACTCTGCTAGTATTTAATTACAGGTTTGTGCTGATATTGTGTGCAAGTATAAGCTACATCATCTGAATAATAGAGTCAGGAGCTCTGAGAGATACTCGGGACAGAGTAAAGCAAATAGTTTTCTGTCACATTTCAGGGAGGAAAATTGCTAATTCATACGCCACAAGCCATAGGCAGAAATACAACAAGAGACTAAGAAAACTTAACTACTTTAAATAATGTGGTCTGCGGTGCAAATTACGGCACTGTGTATTAGTTTCCTTTTGCTGTCAAATTGATAATTTGGATTATGTAGACAAGCAATGCAAGATATTACTAAAATTATTCTTGAGTCCCAGCTCGAGATCTGTATAAAACACTAGGCAATTTAACTGCAACTATATGGAAAAGATATTTTAAAAGGATTTGGGATGGGTTATTTTCTCCACTGTTAAATATTAGCCTTTGAAATGAATCCAGCTGATCTGCCAAATAACCCCGGCAAATTGTTGTGTTTTAATAAAGTGAGGGGGAAGCCACACTAGACCAGCTTTGTGCTTCCAGAGCCGGCCCAGGCCAGGAACATTATGTAATCATGCCTTTTAAAAGAGGGAAGCCTCTTATCATTACACCTTGCCTGGCAACCAATGTAGCCACTTACTCCAAATGCAGATGTAATTAGAATCTATGAAATCTAGCATCAGAATCCGAACCCCCGCTGCAGTACTCAGTAAATTACAGCTTTTACATCTGTGATATTTTCTACCGTTTTGTTTAAATATGTGAATATATGAATGTGTGATATTTCAGGGGGTTTGCTCCATATGCCATGGGAGGGTTTTTATCATTTCTAATAAGGTGCTCCTATAAATGAGAAACCTCATTTTCAGGCTTCTGGAAGGCTCATAGCCCGGGGTGCTGCTGGCAGAGGGGAAACCCCAATGGACTGCTCTTGAAAATCTCCACGTGAACGAGGAGCACAGTGAAAACTCAGGAAACCCAACTCACAGTAGGTACAACCAGAAAGCATCATGACTCTACGAAAATCTAACCAGGCGAGCCCAGGTTCAGGCGTTAGTTTACAGAATCTCAGAAGAGCCTTTTAAGAACTTTAGTTTCCATTAAGAGCCTGAAAGAAAATTAATTTTTGAACTAATATAGTATGACCGACAAAAGAAAGTCAATATTTAAAACTCCTCCTAAAAGTGTTAAAATTGTTGTTTTAAATGAACTGAGAATTAACTTAGTTACTTCAGTTTTTCTTTCATTCCAATAGGAAAATAAATACTTTAAACTTTAACATTAAAACAGAGATCTTAAATATACGGAGAGACTATTTGCACAGGTCCTTTGCAGAAAATAAATTTTCTTCCTCGATTTGTGACTGTCCGTTGCTTTCTGTGTTTAGGAGTATGAAGGTGTGCTCAGCTGTCTCCCAGAAATAGCAGAGGAGTCTTAGTCTCTTTCCAAATGGAAGGGTTCCTATTAGATTTTCTTCATGTCTTAAAATGTTGTAGTTTTTATTTCCCGGTTATGCCTTAAAGAGGTGAAAGTCTCAGCCAGTTAGTCGTGATTTTTAAAAACAGGTAATACAGACCTCTAGTGGTTGAAAGGTTTGAAAACTTCTGTAAGAAAGGAGAATTGTGCAGAAGGGCCTGCTTTTTAAACAGAACAGTTGTTAGTTAAAATTACTTATGGTCAAAACTTGCACACTTCATAGAAATGAAAAGAAGTTAAAATGTGCTTTGAGAATAGTTGGAGCTCGCCACATTCTTTTAGACACTAATTCCTCTAAAACAAGAATGGATGCTTTGACCAAAGGACCAGCGATATTTTTTTTCCTGCGTTATAGGAATGAAGCTGACAAGTATTATGTTTTGTGAAATATATTTTGTTTCCATTTGCCTTATTTCGGGCTTTTCTCCCTCCATAATCTAAAATCTCCCCCTAGAAACCGGGTCTCCAGAAGCCCTGTTTGCCGGTTCCGGATTCAGCTTCTCTCCATGGGCAGCCGCACTCCAGCAGTGTGGGCTCGTGTCCCGATGCGTAGCCTCTCCAGGTTACATAATTCATGCACAAGTTTAAGTGCCTACTAAATACACCTCCAGACTAGCATGCCTCAAATTTTAATGAACACCCAGATCGCCTGGGGAGTCTTCTTATAGTGCAGATTCTGACCTAGGAGGTTTGAGGAGAGGCCTGAGATAGCTTTGCTTTCAGATCATGCTAAGGTGGCTCCTTCAGGGCCACCCCGGGAAGACAAGCAGGCTCCATAATACCTCTCTTTATTTTAATTATATTTTTCATCCTTATGATTTCCTCTTTTTTCTTTTTACATTGAATGGTGTGTCTTGAAATTCACGTTTTGAATTTATAAATCATTGAAAGGATTCTCTATGAAAGGACTTGACTATGTATAAAACAGTTCTGGGAGCTGGTTATTGAAGTCTTCAAAAGCTGATTTTACATTGTAAAACCGGATTTACTGTCATCACCTTAGCTTGATGAGTTCATGGTTGTTGTGAACATCTTTCTAAGCACTCAACGTTATGGGGCGTTTGTAGGCACAGTCAAATATATGAGTGACCAGTTGGGAGAGTGGGTGATACCGGGTTTCGTACATGTCGCGGATGTGCAGAAATACAACTAAGGGCCTAAAGAACATCCACGTCGTAGAATCAAGCAGAATCTAAATGCACAAGTGACAACAGTAAGGGTCAAGAGATCAGAACAAACACAAAAGAACAATTTTCCAAGTAAAATCTATTATAACTCCATCATCTAAATAAATTCCTATCATAGCATGCCATCAACCGTAATTTTGAGATTGATAATTTTAGAATTTATGCCATGGGGTAGTCTTTAAAAGCCTCTTACAAACTTTTAATGTCTAGTTTCAAATCAAAAATAATATATTAACAAGCTGTAGCATGGAGGGAGTACATAAATTATCATCATTGCCCGGCATGAATAGTAATTCACAGGTTTGGCTCAGACACGACTTAGATGAAATAATTAACTATGTACAGTACTTAACAGTATAAAAGTAATTAATCTAGCTGCCTCACACTGGTTTGGCCTAAATATACACGCAATAAAAAAGCCATAGGATTTCATTATTTTTTCACTCATGTTACTACTGCATTAGTAACTTAGAATTTTAATGTCAGAAGAATCATTCCTTTAATGAAAAATCTTTTCATTTCAAATGGTAAGATACTGCACATAAGCTGAGTGATGTCTATATAGTTATAAGAGTGGGCAGATGTTCTCAATTAATAGTTGTATGCATTCTTTAACTTTCACAGTTTACTGCAAATTATTATTTTAAATTAAGATGTAAGTAAGAAAAATGAAATTTTTATTACTACAAAATTACATAGATTCTGTTGATGGTTTTACAATCCTGTGTTGGTGTAGCTTTGGCAAAATATTTCAGACAAATTTGGGTTTTCTTCATGGGTTCTGGGTAGAGGCAAGCTGTTTGTTTGGCCTGTGGGCACTTCACAAGGAGATCCAAAGGGAAGGGTCAAGGTCATCAGTTGGCAAGAAGTCAACAAATAAGCAAGAGAAAAGGGCTCAGGTTATCGCCACTGCCAACAAGGAAAGAGGGTCATTGAGCCTTGTCCTTTGTCTGTCTGGTTGTACGGAGGAATGAACCCAGGAAGCACTGACCTATACATCCTCAGTCCTCACTCCCCACCTGTGTTTAGATAGGATCTTGCCAAGATGCCCAGGCTGGCATTTGTGATCATTCTACCTCAGCCTTCCAAGTAGCTGGGATTACCGGCGTGTGCCACCACACCTGGTTTAGGACCTTTATTTATTTATTTATTTATTTATTTAATTATTTCTCTCTTTGAGTTTACTGGTACATTTTAGGTATAGAATACAGTTACATTCATCATTGGGATCTTGTACCTTTACATGACAGGTCTTGGTTCTCATTTTTTCCCCTTATCCCTGCCCTCCCTTCACCCCCTCCTCCCTTCCCTATTTACAAATACTTTATTTCCAGTTTTTCATTTTCTCATATTTTTTTATTTTTCCTTATTTCCTTTCACCTACCCTTCTCACTTTCCCTACACCTTTAGCCCTTTTCTTCCTATTTCACATTGTCAATTATATCATTAGGATCTTATGTACCATTATACTTTTTCACACCAGAGAAACTATTCGGTATTTATACATGTTAGGATCTTCATTTAAAAGCTGATTCTTGGGCCGGGGATTTAGCTCAGTGGTTCCACCACCTGCCTTGAAAGCACAAGAACCCTAGTTCGATCCCTGGTACCAAAAAAATAAAATAAAAGCTGATTCTCATCTATGAATGTTCCTTTCTCTAAACTTGTAGATTATAACATGTTTTCCCATAAAAGATTCCATTTGATTATTCATTATCCTCATTTAATAAATGGGCAAAAAAGAGGAGGTGGCTTAGGAGTTCTTTCAAAATCACATTATAATAAGTGTAGGGTCAAAACTCAAAGCCAGGAAGTTCTATTTCCAGCCCTGATGGAGTAACAGAGACTGGACTTACCTCCTACACAGAACAATTTTAACAATCTGGACATACTGTATATAAGAAACAATGGTTTCAAGACAGTGGACCTCAGATAACAAAAGGCAGTGATCTCTGGGGGACAGAAAACAAAGGAGCCATAAGGTTGCTCCAGTCCTCTGTCTGGAGGATGTTTCAGCTGTATACAGGAGAGTCAAGCCTGGCAGAGCTCCTAGTCTCCCTAAATTGAGAAGATGGAGCTGGGAGTCCAAGGAGATTAGAATTTGCAGGACAGAGTACCAGAGAGGAGAGAGCTAATCAGAGAAACGGCCTGCAGATCAGCAAAGGGACCTCCTTAGGTTATGATGCTTCTGGGTGGGTACCTGCCCAAAGGGAATAGAAACAACAAGCCCCAGTGATTGTCAAGAGTCAGAAAGCAGTTTCTGTTCACACCAGCCAGAGTGAGAAATGTTGTAATTCCTAGGCATCAGATAGCATATTCAGAAGTGTTTCATCTCAGAACAGGAAAAAAATCACTCCTAAATACTGCTTTGATCCCAAGTAATAAAACATCAAAGCTAGACTCAAAAGAATCAAACTTTGCATTTAACTCAACTGCTTTCTGGAAAAAAACCTGGAGAATTTTTGTGGAAAAACTTCCAATGCCCCAAAAAGTAAAATTCACAATGTTTAACATTCAATATAAACCTAGCATTCATACAAAGAATCAGGAAAGTATTAGCCATTAAAAAAAAAAAGAATAAGAAGAATAGAAACAGACCCAATAATGGCACAGGGAGTAGAGTTGTTAAACAAGGACACTGAAGGGTGATAAGCATGTTTCATATGTTTAAGAAGCTAGATGAAATTTGGAACATATGAGGTAAGGCACATGGAGGGCACGCAACACTGAAATTGAACTTCTGGAGATGAAAACTATACTCTTGCAGATGAATTCCCAAGTGAGAAATGAGATGCTACGATCTTACTTGTTCTGCTGCCACCACAATATTCTTTCCTAGATGCTGAGTTTGATCCCAGTAGCCTAATATTTAATATTTGCTTAATTCTAAAATGCTCAGGTACAAGAGAAAACGCTTCTCATAGTCATCTGCTGTGTAACCACCCCCATCTCGCCTGCCCCCTCCCGCCTACCTCTGGGCCACAGACAGCACCTGCCGTAGACTGGCACTCCCTGAGATTACTGAAGAAAGTATCATCAGCAGCCCTCAGCGTGGCTCCTTCTGAGTCAGTTACAAGAAAAACTGTGTCATCAGACACCATTTTCCAACTGTGCTTTCTGTCTCCCCTCAACACTCTAGTTCTACAAAGCATGAAGTGTTGTCTCCTTGCACGTAACACAATTAATCAGGAACTAAGCGCTTTGCCAGCTCCCAGCTCTTTCTGTCCAAGGCAACAGACACTGTATCAAACCACAAGCTATTTTCTTCCAGACGGCCATGCAGCGAACGAAAATGCCATCCTTTTGTGTGATTTGAAACATCCTA